TTGAAAATTAAATCATGTAAAGAAAATGCCAATCTTAATAACTGATAAAATTTTCAAGTATCTACGACTTATACTTTTAGAATAATAACAAATGTTTAAAATCGTTTGAGGATAAATCGTTATCGTTWCCCTATTTCGTAAAAATTTAAAATTCAAACGCACTTTTTGGCGTTTTGAGCMGTTTTGGGACAAAAGTTGCAAATCAGTTGCAGMTGCGCAACTGTTTTGTGACCATGGTATCGTATACCTAATTATATGAACTATTCTTCTTTCTGCATAGTGCACAGCACCATAATTATTTTGACATAATAACATAATATGTGCAGGTAAAAAGAACTTTGTAAATAAAATAAAATTGTAACACATACACGAGTTATAGGTATATTATATACATTTTTTATTTTTTTTTCATTTRGATTTTAAAAACATGTTTTATTTTTATATTAATTTAAAAACATCAATAAAATTAATGTAAAATACAATAGTGTTTATATTATTATTTGGAGCTTAAATTTATAACAGCATTATATTATATATTACTCTATAAAGCAACTATTATAAAATAATACTATATAAAAGTATAGGTAGCTGTAACTATAAACTATATAGTAGCAGTATAGTGGTAATATAGTGTAGGTAGCCTCTAAAACCTATTGCATTATCACTATCAGAAGACAGTATTGGACWGTGCCACAGTAGGTATAGTATTGTGGCCACACATATATCATGTTATGGTAGTCAGTAGAAGTAGTTGTGATCGTCAAGGTTATTTATTGAAAATATAGGTACCATATATAATAATATATTATAGGGAATAGATAAAATTATTTTTGGAATTTGTTGTTGCGTGAAGGCAACAAGTGAAAAACGGCATCCGCTGCATAACGTAAGGTTTTCTATTTTTTGATTTTCATCGTACAGTTTTATACATGAATTAATATTAATATTATTATATTGTTWAATAATTTATATATATATATACATACACGTAACACTATATATCTATTGTACGTCGGAAAATCGTCAATAAACCACCGTGTTTAAAAAATATAACTTATTCGAAACACAAAGTAGAAATGATTGTATCAAATAAAATTAACTTAAAAGTTTCACATAAAAAAATAAAGTATTCAAATCTTATTATAAATAAATAGGGTTTTATAATATTTCTGGTTTGGGAAATCGGGAACGGCACAATATTGTAGACGGGTATTGGTAGTATATAAATAAATTAAATCGATTTTTTTCTCAGCGGATGTGATGGTTAAGTAGACGAATTTAGTGRAATCGCACATACAAATATTATGCGAAATGAAAAAACAAAATACATTTAAACATCATAATTATTGGTTTTTTTTTTCCGAAATTCGATTGTCTGACGAGTTTTGTGCGTTCATGTACTTAATGTTCATTGTGTAACTATATCACAAATTATTGTACGAGGATCGTGTACTTGAATTTTCGATTTTTATACATTTACAGGTACCTACTATTACAGTTATTCATACTAAACGATAAACACAATTTCGTTTTTTTACATATTGAATTCAATACAGATTTTACCGAAAAGAAAAACAATTAACACCGGTATATTTACATAAAATATTTATATAATAGGTATTATATTTGTATATACTAATGTTTTTCTTACATAAAAGGGAAAAAGTATTACATCAATATTGTTGCACAAAACAGAACCAAATGCGGTCAAACACAATAACGGTAATTCCATTTATAAATATAATTTTTTTTTTAATTTTAAAACTTTTTTAATATATATATTTATATATTTTTTAACGAACTCTACACTTGTACACTATACAAAAAGATGATGTATAAAAATAAAATGGAAAAACATTGAAAAAGGCCCCTCCGCACATAACATAATAAAAAGAATGTGCCTTTTCTGCTCCGGAAACGTCCACACACGCACACACGCTAGGTATATGTATATATATGAGATTGTTGTACATAAATTTCTTCTTGCTTTAACCAATGCACCAGAGAATACATATTATGAATATATACGTTCTATATAAAATATTTACACTGAGAAACAGGATTCTTAAGACAATAATATTATTATTATTCGATTATTATTATTAACGACTAAACACTACTAAATTTCGACTACATAATAATATATAATAAAATACAAAATAAAATATATTAATATGGACATAACTGCAGG